GGTCCGAACGCTCGATGAAGATAACGTATAAACATATACGTCGGGCTTTTCTGTGAGATCATAACCATCAGCACTCGTTTCGTCTATATTATACAATAATAAATGTGATTTTTATTAATAAGTTGTAAACCGAAAATAGTTGTTGAAAGTATCTTAAATACGACCGACACATCTCGTAGCCAAGATTGAACCATGCAAATAAACTGCCGCTCTTGTGATGTACTGCTATGGCTTGTTCAACATTTGCATTGCACGCATCACAGTGTTGAAATTTTGAAGATTTGATCTTCACCCAACCCGTGTATGTCGGTAGCGACTTTCTTTCTGCTACAGAGATGTCCCTTTTTTGGCGCAGTGAAGGGTGTGGGCCCCTTACCAGCAGGTGGCTTGCAATATCCAAATAGAATCTACACGTAGATGGAGTAGCATACATCGTTAAAAATACAAATAATCATTTTTTATTGGATGTGCATGAATACAGTTAATTTGTATGCACAGTATAAACATGTACCTGTATTTATAAGATGATATTTAAAGGATGTGCATGTATTTAGATATTATTTATGCATACGCATTTTGTAATACCTCATATGTATACCCAGAATACACATGCTATTCAAGTTACCCAAGGATTTAAACAAATCACATTTAATATACCTGCCATTTACAATCAACCTTAAGTGACTTCCTCAGCTTCTTGGTAGGAATTTTAGCATTCTGAGCCTTCGAATCGGTATACCGCTTTTCTTGTCGCACCTCATAGTATTTTGGCTTTCCATGCCATGAGCCGAGGATCCCTACTACAAAAATCAGGATAGAATGATAATGAGAAACAGAATATCCGAGATCGGAAGTTGAATGTTTACATAATGCTTTTGGTACAAAAATTGTGCATTAGATTTTGTATACTTGACTTACTCGCATTTCATTCTTCAAATTTGAAGAAATTACAACGTTTATGTCCAACTTTTTGGCCAAGGGTTGAACCTGCACTTCTGCCTCCTCAAAACTGGCGAAAAATCTATCGGCATGGAAAAGAATCTCAAAGCTATACCCGAGGTTTGTTTCATCCTCTACGGTAGGCACTTATGCATGCATTCGAGTAATTGGTCTATCCCATTTGTTTGCATCATTTCTCAGGCTAGGCCAGCTTCTACCCGTTGTATCAACAGATGTATTCTTGATGACATCTTGCACATCCTCTTGCACATTCTCTTGCACATTCTCTTGCACATCCTCTTACAAGAAAAAATAGACAAACAGACAAAACCGCAAAAATGTACATTTGTGGACATCTTTAAAAAAAAAAAAACTATAATCTGGTGATTATTATGGAGACTGCTCGAGTCTTCGCGAGACTTCGACTGCACTCTGCAGTCTGCGCCTCAGTGCGGGTTGTCGGTCCAAGTTGTCACTCTTCTGTCCGACAACAGTACCATTTCTAATTTTTCCTCAGTCTGGGTCTGGTTGCGGCCGTATTATAGACAGTCCCAAACACTATTGGCTAATGTGCCCTGTGGAATTTGAATCGTTCGTTATCCGTTTATCGCAATTTGAATTGCCTGACTCTGAATCCATTTAAAAATAGCTGATTTCAGTAAAGTAATCACTTTTTTAAAAGTATTCCTCTCTCTACTTTAGTAGAGAATAGAGTCTACAGAGAGCCGGGCCAAGTGTATTGTAATTGTCAGTATTGAAATTGGTGTATTTCCATTTTTAGGAAAAGAAGGCAGAGAAGGACAAATTTTTGTCACATTCTTTTTTGAACGAGTATTTGTTTTTAAAAAGTCGAGTAATCAGGATAAAGAGCAAACAAAATAATAGATTCCTAAATAAGGCTATTTACTGCTTTTATCTTCCCGCTGACGATAAACCAAATTACCAAATACACATAAACATCCGAAAACAGTGGCCCCCCATTTTGTATGTAGAAATGCATACGTAATAGTTAAATACCCATAGCCATATATAAGGAGAAATACAACGTTGAAAAGCTTAGTAGTATCACTTATACAACAGACTGGTTAAATATACAAACCAGTCCGACACCTTATAAAATTAATCCATCTAATCATGAGCTTCAACAAGACAGGAAACAGTGCGCTTGATGCGGCTTTGATATCTTGGTTCGAATCCGACAAGGTAAATGGTATAGCAAAATTATTTGCCTATTGTTAGTACTTGTATCATGATTTATCAGTAGCTCACAATACCACAGCCAAGATCATACGGATGGCTAATTTTGCACAACCGTTTGACTTTCATCAATGGCGATATCTACACTAAACGTTTTTTCAACTCCAACGACGCTTTAAAGACTTTTAAGAAACTATGTTGTCATACGCTAGCTTTTCCGCAAGACGTACACCAGCAGAAGTCCAAAAACCAAACAATGAACTTATGTTCAAGCCACTAGGCGTTCAGCTTAGTTGGTGGTTCAGTATATAGACATGGCCTATAGGCTCGATATAATGGTAGCCCTACTTGCGCACATATTGGATACTTGACCCACATACGCATACTCGTTCTGCCCTTACTTCCATATTCGTCTTACAGTCAGAATGGACCAGGAAGGAACTCAACGACCGTATTGCGGCGAACGACATCGCTGGCTTAGAATCTATCATGCTTGAGCACATGGAGTTTGGTACCGCAGGTAAGTGTGTGATATTCTTTGCTTGTGCATCCTTTTACTCAAGTAAAAGTATCACTATAGATTACTATGCCTGTGTTGAGTAATTAAAGCCTCAACTAAGGGCCAGGTTTTTGTTGTTGTTGTTGCATATGTTTTCCGTTCGAGACGGGTTCAAACCACACCTATATATTTAACACATATTTGCGAACAACTTGTGAACTTAATACCCGAAGGCTGGCTCTATATTTTACCCCTATTCGTATCCGTTTTCCATGGGTATCATTCTTAGGTCTCCGAGCACGTATGGGTGCTGGTTACGCCTGCATGAACGACTTGACCGTTCTACAAGCCGCCCAGGGTCTGTGCCGCTATTTGCAGGAGGTAAATCCAGATGTGGGTACCCAGGGTGTCGTCGTTGGGCACGACCACCGACACCATTCCAGTGACTTTGCGAAGATCACTGCGGCCGTGTTTATGAGCCAGAACATCCCTGTCCACTACTACAAGCCTCTGGCCTGCACACCTATGGTGGTATGTACGATTTAGGTCTGTGTATGCTGTGTTGGAGCTCAAGTCGGAAGTGGTTTAGGGAGTGGATGATGCCTATCTCACTGTATGAAACCTTTCAACCATTGTATTTGCCATATAGGAGGCTAGTTACATGAACAGCAATGTACATGAATATCTCTTGAAACTATTAGGCATCCCGGCAGTTTAATTCCTTGGACTAATATATCGTTCCCAAGTTGTGACTAACAACATGGTATTTTCTCCCCATATTCGACCACAGCCGTTCGGTGTCATCAAATTCGGCGCTGCCGCCGGTGTGATGGTAACAGCTTCTCACAATCCGAAGGACGACAACGGTTATAAGGTGTACTGGAGCAACGGTGCCCAGGTATGCACTCATGCATGGTTGCATGATACGTTGTCAAAATATCTGTCTACTATGTGCTGGTTAGCGCGAGTGAAAATACATTGTTGTTTGTGGGACTGTTTATTGGGTGTCATCTTGGATGTCCATGAGTCATTGGGATTACTGATTCGATATCTGAAGCCTTCATCACTGTAGACAACAATCTCAATATTAAGGTTTGGTTGTGTGAAGTTGAGTTCTGATAAACTGCAGAGCTTACATAAAAGAACATGGGACAATACATATCCGTTTCACTCGTTAAACCAATTCTGCTGCTCAATTTGTACTCTTAGATCATTCCACCTCACGATTCCGGAATTGCCGGACATATTCTGAAGAACCAGAAGCCATGGGATGGTATCTGGGAATCGTTCCCCACCATCGAGGACAAGATCGAATGTCAGCACGAGAATGTGCTGAGTGACTACATCACCCAGTGCACACAGAGGTCCAAGAGCATGGGGTATGTCAGTATGCACCTCTTATTACTTCCGTTGTTTGTGATATCGATGAGTTATCTTCCGTTAAAGATCCGAGATTTTTGATCTGCAATACGGTGTGTTCTCCCTATTTGAACGTCCACAAATGCCAATTCTGCATATATGTTCGTTTAAACCCAATCCAGAACCGAGGCCAAGAACGCTAAAATCACATACACTGCCATGCACGGTGTGGGAACTCCGTTCGTGGCGCGTATCTTCAAGTCGTTCGAACACCCCGACTTCATCCCATGCAAGGAGCAAGTGCAGCCTGATCCCGAATTCCCCACTGTCGCCTTCCCTAATCCCGAGGAGGGTAAGAGTGCTCTGGTAAGTGCCATTGTACCATGGTATATCCATATTTATTTCTATACGTATATGTATATAAACATACGTATATGCGCATCATATATGTGCATATCAATTGTATATGTATGTATTTCAAGTCTCTGTACCTCGGTGATCGATGCGCACGAAACATTAGGTTGCACGGATCTGTTGGTGTGAGACAAATCTAGACGCTGGCGTGTAGCGTCACTACTAGAGCACCTGCTTCTATGTCGCACTATATATTATACATCTACAATACACATTAAGCTAGTAAGTACCCTGCACTTTATCAATAAGTACCAACATAGTGTCTGGAGCATGAAGCTATCACGTCTTGTTTCCATCACAGAACTTGAGTATGGCCGAGGCAGATCGCTCCGGTAGTGAGTTAATCCTGGCAAATGACCCCGACGCAGATCGATTGGCTGTCGCCGAGAAGCAAAGAAAGTATGTAGACAATTGTGCTGTGTTATACCGTCTGCAATGAATCGGAGCGAGAGAAAAAACTCTGTCTACAATACACCCACCTTTCCTGTGCATTCATTGAAATGATCTCGGTCACAAAAAAGCTTAGTTATGATGTTCACGAGTCTGTGCGCTTAAGATCTTCTGACGGTTTCTCACCTGCCCATCTGTACGATCTCTTTGTATGCAGTGGCGAATGGAAGGTGTTTAACGGTAACGAGACCGCCTGCCTGCTGTCCTGGTGGGTGTATGAAACTATGAAGAAGCAGAACCCCGGAGCTAACCCTGCCGACTACGCTATGGTGGCCAGTACTGTGTCTAGCAAGTATCTTGCGGCCATGGCTAAGAAGGAGGGTTTCACATTCGAGGTGTGTCATTATCTCTGAGACGCTTGGTTTCAATTACAGTTGTGCATTTACAGTTGTGCGTGGTGCAGATTGTGTCCTCGAATTCGGTTTCTGTGACGAATACCTCTACATTTTGTGTCTTGTATTTGGCTGTGTAATCCTCGTCCAAACACAGACGCACATTCGAGATGTCTGATTCAATTCATTGCCCATCGCTCATTACATTTGTTCTGATTCTATAGGATACCCTCACTGGATTCAAGTGGATTGGTAACCGGGCGATTCGGTTCACACAAGAAGGAAAGAAGGTGCTATTCGGATACGAGGAGGCTATCGGTAGGTCGAACTCTCGAGTAGTATCTATTGATAGACTCTATCGACAACTCCGTGCGATTGTGATAAGAATATTCATATATGGTGTTGTTCAGCGAATGCTAGTTCTAGAACGCTCATGGGATCGGGTTTATAGTCACCATAATCGTATTGATAGTTGCCGACCGTGTGACAACAGCTCTTCAAGATATGCCAAAGATTTTCACAGACTCTGCACGTGTGTATCTTCTATCTTATATTCTCAATCGCGCAATATTACCTCAGGTTTCATGGTTGGTGTAAACCCGCCTGACAAGGATGGAGTACACGCCGCCGCAGTGTTCGGAGAGATGATGCAGACGCTGTACGGCCAAGGCAAGAAGCTGTCAGAGCAACTGGATGCCTTATACGTTAAATACGGATACTTTATCTCAAAGGTAAAAGTCTTTTGTAGTATATTCACAGTACAGTTTTCCATAGATGAACGGATATCTTGATGCTATGCTTCGGTGTATACATGAATATAATTCGATACTTCCGAATGGGGTTGACTGCGCCTGGTACGTGACGGTCGTCACACCTATTTGTACTAAACTGTTCAGCAACGTACTCTCTCTTCTTTGAATATAGGATTCCTATTTCAAGTGTTCAAGCCAAGACACCATCAACGCGCTCTTCAAAGAGTTGCGAGAGCCTGGATACCCCAAGGCGTGTGGCCGGTTCGGCATCAAAAACATCCGTGACTGTACCACTGGCTTCGACAACCGATACTCCGATAACAAATCGGTACTGCCCACAACTGCTGGTAAGAATGAGTGAATAGCAAGTGCTGAGCCATATGTAGATGTGTGAAGAGATTGTTGTACTTGGTTTGTCTGTACGCCCAATTTGTTTGGCTCTGATTCAGCGCTTCGGGCTTCAGTCAATTACAGTATAGTGAATCTGAATCACTGCGACCGAATGAGTCCGTTATATTACTTCCACATACAGATATATGTCCACATATCCACATTCGTTTGATGCGCATTGATCTGATTGAACCCCCTATACCTCTCTCAATGCAGATATTCAAATGATTACCTTCTACTTCGACAATGGCGCTGTTGTGACAATGCGCACGAGTGGAACGGAGCCCAAGATCAAATACTATTCAGAGCTTCCAGGACCACTAGACGAGAAGTAAGTAGACCGCATTCGCAGAATATATTATCCAACTGCCCGCCGTTATATATCGCACATAGAGTGCGTGATGTTTCGTATACTTGTCATAGAGCTTAGGGGAGTACTTTAGAGTATATATATA